TATATATGATACTGATATGTTTTGTCTTATATATATATATATATATATACATATAAAACTTCCTAATAAAGAAATTACTTACATAAAAAAATTACACACAGTTTTGATAACAGGTTATTTTCTGAGATAAACTTATGATGGAATTTTAATAATTACAAAAAATCATCCAATCTCACCACAGAGAAAAACAGTGCACTCGGTCAATAGCACTAAATACTGACTGTAAAAATAAATGTTCAATATTTAAAATATACTAATATGTCTGAGAGTTAAAAAAAAACAAGAAAAAACTAACTGTGCAAAGCAACTGTCTTACCGAATATCAGAAATCATACCCAGAGCTTCTCATCAACTTTTCAAAACTTACATTTTTTTGACAAAATTTTCATGATAAGTATCTTGTCAGTTTGTTCAAATATATATAATATTGACAGAAAAATATTTAGGGTTGGGGGAAGGGGGAATTTATATACTGTCCCTCTAATGGCAATTGTAATTCACAGAAACCTGCTTATTGGTATATTCTCAATCAGCGAGGCCATTGGAAAAAAGAGAGTAAAATAACTATATTAATTCAACTCTTTAAAACAAAATCTTTACTGCCAGCTCTGTAATAAACATGCAAGCCTTCAAATCAAACAACCACTACACTTTTAAAAATATTCTATTCAACAAAACACCTATACATTCCCAATGATCAAACCAGTATTTAACTATAAAACTCATAATTACTGATGCATAATGTTTTCATGCTCATAATGGTACAATTTACTCTAATTTTTCTAAAACATCCCAGCAAGTTTTTAGCTGCATAAAATTATATTTTCTGATATCAAAAAAAAGGGGGAAAGAACTTACAGCCTGCTGTTTCTGCATTCTACTTGCGGTTCTGTTTTCTTTGGCTTTTTGCTGAAATTGCAGCAGATTTTAACATTTGTTAAAAAAAAAAAGGGATTTTTCTACAACAATAAGCCATTTTCTAAACAGTTAAAGCAAACAAAATATGTTGAAATTACAAAATACTGAATTTAAATTGCAAGCAAACAAAACATACTGTTATGAATAAAAATAAAGTTTCTTGTTCAAATTTTTATAAATAGTATATAAAACCAATGTATACCATTGCTTATTTTTCTAGATGTTTTCGTAATGTCTGTTAACAAAAAGAAGCAGTGCTACTTCAGTTCTATTATATTTTAATGATTAAATTTAAGCTTGCACATACGTTACAAGTCCTACGAATACTACCTTACCAAGAATGGATGTCGTTTTTCCGATGAAAGACTCCTCCAAATTTTAGCAATCTGTTTTGCCCTGTCAGGCCAATCTAAAATAAAACAAAAACAGTAATCCCCCTTTTTTATATAATCAAATGTAAACATCTTTTCCAACATCTATTAATTCACAAAACCATGAAAATTTCTTTTCAGGTATCAAATGCCCCAATTTTCACCAACTTCATTCTTTCAAGAAGTATAAGAATAACTCTTTGAAAATTACGTGTTTCTCACTGACTGCTCATTCTGACAAGAATTTAGCATTTTCATACACCACAGATAAAAATATGGTTATGTAAATGCTTTTTTTTGTAATGTAACAATGTTTTTTTTTCTGTGAGATAACAATAATTTCATAATTATTTTAATCACATCTAAAGCAAAAAAAAAAAAAATTAATACTTTGGACTATCTTAGTAGTTTAAACATGTTTAGATTAAAAACTCTTAAATATATTTCAAACATTCAATTTTTAATGAGTCAGCTTGTGGATGCTCAATTTAATCTTTCCCAATCTGATTTCCTCTACAAGCTGCCAAATCAATATCTTTTTGAGCTGATTGATACTTGTTTCAGTTCATTAATGTAAACTAATTTAAAATTTTAACTACATTCATAACAATTCTTTTATTAATAAACATATAAAATTTTTCTTTGGCACTGTCTGAGGTTGAGTTATTTATAAAAGTGATCACATTTTCGTGCCCTCAAATATTACTTACTTAAGTTTATAATATCTATCAAAGAACACAACTGAGAAGATTGAATTTTGCTAGCTGCAAAAATCAAATACTAAAATACAATACAATGGAAAAAATACCTACATCTGACTCACTCTTTTAACGTTTTATTTAGTAGCTTAAAAAACCAAGATTTTGTTTTTATCATTAGAACATACTGCATTTATAACTGCAACATTTTTTAAAATGTGATCATTCTGAAAAACATAACTGAACATGACAATTTTAGAGCTCATTCTTTCATATTAACATTAACAGAGCAGTATAAGTAATACTGTATTTGCTCATCTTCTTAGCAAGTCAGCTTAAAAAATACCACATGGCAAAAAAAATGATATCAGAAACACAATTCAATTATTAAAAAAATTTGCAATCACAAGTTTAGGATCCAGAAGAACAATCCAAACAACATTTGGGTGACTTTGAAAGTTATCTTGGATTTTATAAACAAATACAGCACCCTGAATATAAACTGATAAAAATTAGCAATATCAAAGAATAAAAAAAGTTTGGCCTTTATGTGAATTTTACCTATCAGTCTCTTGTTTGGTTATCTTTCCTATGCAAAGAGTTTTAAGCAATTACATATCTACTCAAGGTACTTCATACTGATGTGTATCTTACTGTTCTGGAGATATCATTCAACCATGTACTTATAGCTAGATCACTGGAAATTATCTCTACTGGTTTGTTGTGCATCCCCAACATGGGGTCAGTCAATTTGACCAAACCATGTGACCTCTTGTACTCGTTTAAAGTTTTTAAAAATTTAATACTTATAACTCTCAATATATTGGGTATATCTTCAAGAAATTTGGCAGTCTTTCAGTTAATATTACAATTCTTTCACATACATATTTCTTAATGAAGTACTTTTAATAAAATAAAATAAAGATTTGTCCATTAATATATTGAGTATTTGTTTTGAATAGTCTGTGTGCAAAGTAATTTTCATGTTAAAATTAAAAATACTTTTTGTCATCTCAAAAATATCAAATTCCTAAAACCTCCTAAATGCATTTCAAACGATTTTTTTTTCACTAAATCCTTATAGTTTATCTGTTATTTTCTCTACCCTATTTCAAAATGGGATCAGTCAATTTGACTGACCTTGTAACCACTAAAACAAAACAACAACAAAAAAAAAACTCGAAATAAACCCAAATTAATGTTTTTTCTAGACAGTTTATCCTAAGTAGCTCTAACTTCGTAACATTATACATCTATTTATAATTAAATTTTATTGTTTTGTTGTCCTCTGAACCGTGTCTAACTACTATCCATGTAATTATAAGTTGTAAATCCCTCAGTGAATGTACAGCTCACATTACACTAATGAATTACATTACCCAAGAGCTGCTCCCATGCATGCCTCATCAACCATTTTAATTGTTATTATTATTGCTTATTTTACCTAATCTAGTCTTAAATAACTTAAAAAGATCCGTATTTTTAGATTATAGTTACTTTTATAATAATAAATAAAGAATAAAAATGAAAAACAAGAAATAAAGTACGTACCCAAACTTCTTTTTTCTTGCTCTCGATTGTTGAGGACAGTTAAACCTGATTTTTTATAGTAATTATAGTAATGCACTTAACAATTTTTATTTAATTAAATAATGCACCAAAGAATATAGACTAATAACATGCAAAAAGTAGACAAATTCACTTACCTCTCAAATTTTTCCTTGCTTTCTAACTATGTGACAAGAGCCATTACAAATTCATTCAAGCTAGTCGTTAACTTTCCCAAGGGAACGATGTTTCTACTCTGAGTGAAACTGACGATTATCTGTTCAGAACACAATGTTATGTAATACATCATTTGATAGATGAAAACCTTGACTTTCTATTGGTTATAGGTAATATATAATGAAATGTAAGAGAGAACTATCAACAAATTGTGAAAGAGAGAATGTGACAGGAGAGGTCTGATTTTCTAATTGATAGCTCTGTAACCAACCAAAATTGGAGGCTATAAAGATTATGGTTTGTTTGAGCAATAACGATTTTATTTTAGATTTAATTTTGTACATTTTCGATAGTTGATGGATAAAATAGGGATGATGACCTACTAAGGCAAAATGTGTCACATGGGTCACACTAGTGGAAATTCAGGATTTTCTTACATATTTCCTTGTAGAATTGAGAACTTAAAACTTGTATACTATTAAAATATGGATTATTAGCTAAGATTTTATGCTATTCTAATTGGTATAAAATAAACAAAAAGTAGTTTAATAAAATTTTGAATGTAAGACACTAAAACCTTGTGTCATGTGCAGTGAAGGGTACCCAGGGTGCCAGGTTTAACATCACTTTTAAAGAGTCTAGGTTTTCTACCTTGACCACATTTTCTATCAACATTAGTAATTTCACATATCCTCTTCAGCTTCCATGCAATACGTATTGAAAAACATGAAATTTTATATCAATCTGTTGGAAAGAGTAGACTTCACCAGCCTAAACTTTGATTTCTACCAAATTTGTCATGTGGCCTTTCTGTCCTGGGAACCATGACTGAATCAAGCCACAAACACACATGCATGATGTTCTTCTTTCCCCATACAAAAACTTAGCAGCTTTGGTATGTTATCTCTTCAAGGTTAAATAGGGGTTCAGTACTTTCATTAGCATTACTTTCTGTCTCAAGTTTTTCACTCTTTCAGCCAAAATTCCCTAAATTCAGTACTTATCTTGACAGTTCAATATCTAAGTGTCTCTCAACTTTACTGCAGAACTTTAATGTACCTTCCCTAATCATTACAATGTAAATTTCCTTATGATACATGCAACACAGATCCGAATGCTTATTGTTTTTCTTCTTTACCCAAGTGTAAACACCTATAGCAAGCACAGTGTAAGACACTAAAACCTTGTGTCATGTGCAGTAAAGGGTACCCAGGGTGCCAGGTTTAGACCTACAAACTCAAAGAAACAAAAAGGTGCCTCAGTAGAAGCAAATACATGAGTGATCCATCCAGTAGGAAGTCATACCAACCCAACATGGAAATAATATCTGAGAGTACATTATTTTTGTTAATACTTTTAGATATATATTTTTTATCAGTAATTTTTTGTAGATGTTGTACAACAAAATACTTTCTTCTGAAATTCAAGTAATTCATAAAAACTTTTCAAGGAATCTAGTCAAACTTAAGAAATTTTCAAGTCTGAGAAAACCCTGTGTTATATTTTGAAGGACCAATTTAACTTAACAAAAAATAAACATTCATGGTTTATTAGCTTACCCAAAGTTAGCATAAAATAAACAAACAAGAAATTAATTTTATCTTCAAGTAAGCATGTCACACTGATCATACAGTAGGAAATTGTTTACATTTTATGAAGAGTTTCATCACAACTTATAATGTTACCACATCAGGCTTAATTTATTTCTGTCAGTACATAAAAGTACAAAATTTTATTCTTAGACCTACAAACTCAAAGAAACAAAAAGGTGCCTCAAGCATGTATTTTGTTACCATATTATTTGAGAAATATTTAATTTTCTTAAGTATAAGAAAAAATTATGATTTTCTACCTTTTTTTAAGATTTCATATTTAAAATACCATAAAAAATATACTGCTGAAAAAGCACCAGAAAAGTTTAATAATGCATAGCTTACTGGGTGGAAAATAGCTTTATCAGTTTCAACTGTAAACTTCTATGTTGTATTCAGTATCTACAATTTACTTACTAGGATATTCAATCTTCAAGTGTGGCATATTAATGTTTGCATAAAGAACTGGAGATATAGTGGCTTTTTCACCCAGGGCTTCATCAGGTTCCCACTTCAAAATGTTTTTGTGCCCATGAGCACCAATTTGTGGTGTAGGAGTTTCAAGCTGTTCTCCTTCTGGCCAAGGACTAGATGGGTCAGACAGCTGAGAGCTAATAATTAAAGAGGTGACAAAATGAATACATACTATACAAGACAGAGTGTAATGGAGAATTTTGTCTTGTAATACTAGTATTAAAAAATTAGAGCATACAAACCTCAGTTTAAACAAAATTTAACTTTCCTTAAGACTGAAATATACCTATTTTTCTCCTTCACATATACTTTTATGGTGTACTTTTTATAATAATTTGTCTACATGTGTGAATTTCTATGTATTCCATTATTATTTTAACATTTAACAAACAAAACTATATTACTGTAAAAGAACTTACAGTGTCTAAATATTTTTTTTATAATTAAATTTTCTCTGGGATGCAACAAACAAAACTGACATATTGCAAAATGTCAGGAATAAAAATAAATGCCTGCATTTACAAACTGATCATTTAATTAAAAAAAACTTGTTATTCAAGTTAAATTCATAGCCCAAAATACACTTAAGTATGCAAATAGAAACGAGATGATGTCCGGTGTTGTTTTACATTCATTATCAGAGGGAAAATACTTAATCAACTAAAAGGACATGTATAAACAGACAAAGTCACACACACCCAAAATACTGTAAATTAGGTAACAATCTAGTTTTCCAAATTACCTTCCAAATTCAGTAGAGAATTGGGCTTGGGATGATAAACTGAAAGAAGAATTCAACCCAATACCACTGCTTGGGGTTGTTGGCCTGTGTGTTGGAGGTATATGAGGTACAGGACGCTGAGGTTCAGATTGATAGCCAGGAGTTTGAGATGCTGATGGCTGAAGCTGAGGAGCTCCTGACCTTACAGCCACACTAATGGGAGCAGTAGCAACAGCAAATGCTGAGCTTGCTCCAACTGCAAAACAAATTATTATGGTTTCATATTCAAATTATTTAAAATAGTAATGAAACACAAACAAAGAGAAAGTTAAAACATTAATTATACACATTTTCAATCTGGACTCTTCAGTTCTGGAGAAATTTGTAAGATTACAAATGTTATAATTAGTATAATTAGGAGTTCTGAATTTTTGGTTTTAACCAGTAAACATCCAAAACAAACAAATACAAGACTGGTGTATGTCCAATAAACAATGGAAAAACACAAGTAACTGTTACTCAATTTACCTTAGTTTCACCCCTATCCCAGTGCAGTTAGTTATGCAATGTTCTTCCTATCTGACTAATACCTAGAATTGATTTGTTCTAAATATTTCAAATGTATCCCAGCTACTGAAGGGTAACAACACTTTAAACCAACATGAAAGTAACTTTTATAGAAATAATACGTCATGTAATATAAGTTAAAGTAGACCATGTGCAGAGAAAGAATTTTAGTAAAAAGCAGAAAAAAAATCTCTTAACTCTTTCAGCATCAGCTCGGACCCTGGGACCGACCTCATAACCATTTTGTGCTTGTTAGAGTTTTCATGCTATAACTATTAAATTAGTAAGTGTATATTCACAAAATTTGGCAGATTATCAGTAAACACTACAAGGCTTTCATATGCAAAATATCAGATTTTTTTTTATCAAGTCTTAAAGTTTGTTAAGCAATGTTTTTCTTGTACCTTTTTCTTTTCATATGTTGCCTATCCAACATGCAAAGTAATTTTCATTCTAAGATTAAAAATACTGTTATGCATCAGAAAATTTCACATGTGAAATCTAATGTTCAGATAGTTATCAAATGTTTCTTAATAAAAAACTTTATATTTTATCTGTTATTTTCATTAACGAATCTATGTATGGCTTTGATGGATTTGACCGATCTCATAACCACCATAAAAAATCAGGAAATAAATATAAGTTATACCTTTTTCATCCTAGAGTGACTACAAATTATAACACGAAAACACAAATGTTTAGTCTAAATAGCTTAAATCTCGTAACATTATACATTTATTTATATTTACTATATTGACCTTTCAGCCGAAACAGAAGTTACAATGACGTGGCACACATGCACTTATGTTACCATATAAAACTGACCTTTAGTCTTTACAAAGTGACCTGTCTTGGCTGTGTTTTAGTGAACTAATACTTTGCAAAATACAGTCATACTTCAATTATTATATATATGTATATTGTTTGTTTGTTATGAATTTCACACAAAGCTACACGAGGGCTACCTGTGCTAACCATACTTAATTTACTAGTGTAAGACTAGAGGGAAGGCAGCTAGTCATCACCACCTACCGCCAACTGTTTGGCTACTCTGTCACAGCTGAAAGTGTGAGCAATGTTGGTGTGATGGGGATTCTAACCTGCGACCCAAAGATTGTGAGTCGAGCACTCTAACCACTTGACCCTGCCAGGCCATATATGTATATACATATATATTATTATTTACAAACAAGTTCTTAAACTTATTTTTCTTAAAACACAGAACAGTAAATAAAGAAGAAAAGCAAACAATTATCTCTTCTAGTAACGACCTTTGTACTTGTTTGCTGCTTGTCGTAGGTTCGTAAGCCTAAAAAACTTTTGCACATGGAGGATATGAAACTAAATATTATTTTTTTAGGTTTCATACACATTTGAAATAACCGAAAAATCATTAATTACTATATCAATACCACAGGATTCCACTATAATTTATGAAGCTTAGTAATTAAGCTGTATTTGGGTCTAAAATTATATGAAATTTCGAGCAGACTAAAGACTCACATTACCAGCATGAAGATTTGTATCAAACAAACGAGGTGACATTGTAATATTGAAAATGGCTGAGCTTTTGATTATTCAGAATGTAAGGGAGCTTTTGGAAAAATGGAAAGAGGTGAGTGGGGCCACTGAGTTTGATTCAGAACATGAGCGATATCTTAGTAAATAGAAAAAAACAGGAGGTTCTTATTTTACATTCTAGCTTGTTAATATCGGTAATTTGAGTTCCTAATTTGTATGAAACTATAGACTTTGTATTTGACATCACAAACATCTAATTTGAATCAATGCTTCATTCAACATACCATATGACACACAAAAATTGATGTGTTTTTAATATTTACTTTTAAATTAAGAAATTAAATAATGTATAATACTAACATTTGAATTACAATCTACAGTTTGATACCAAACTTATTGACATAAATTTATAAAACAGTAGTTCAATAAAATTTTGAATGCAAGTCAACAAATGCAATGACATGGCCTTTGACCAGTGACATGTGTGGAAAAGGTTACAGTATATAAAAACTTTTCAGGTTATCTACCTAAAGCTAAAAAACAACTGAAAATAAACTTGGAAAACTTAAGTTAATAAACAATGCAACACAGACACTCAAGTATAGTTTACCTATCAACTACAAATCTCATTCAACCTTCAAGTGTGCAATATTTCTGAATTCTAATTAACAAGATAAAGGATATCATGACAGTGTATGATCTTTTTTTTAAATTTTAACTAAGTTTGAGCAGCTACCTCACAAACAGCAGTAAAACTGGAGTTTAAAGATGATTTAATTTTCAAATACAATTTATAAACTAACAAATTCACAGCATAAATAAACATAATTTTTAAAATGTTTTTACACTACAGAAGTTGAGTTTGTTATCTTAATTTACCCCAATGTTAAATTGATATCAATCAACATTTTACTTAGTTTACTGTAAACATTGCTAGAATATTTAATACTGACAACTAATGAATTTATACTGCCCATACTTTTTACATATAATTAACCTAAGTTCTAAAACCAAAGATGTCATTCATTAAGCATTTGTAGATCTACAAACTTGAAATAACTGTGATGAATGAATTTTTCTTGAAACATGATTATGTACTTCTGTACTGGTTTATAAAGGGTTTTGCTCTCTCTCTAACTATGACATACTTAGGTAAGAAACAACTGAAGTGCTATCATGAACAAAGCAGCCAACAATACTACAAGCAGTTACGTCTGCCCTATGATGACAACTGGTGTGAACTTCAAAATAACCATTGTTATATTGTAGTGAAAAATGAACTGTTGCTAATGGCTGTATGCACGTATGGGTAGTAAATACATGTGACTTGTAAACCTCAAAGTAAAGTACAGGTGGTGGATGTGGCACCCATCGGGGGTTGGCAAAATTTATCACTTGTTTCTACTGGATTTGACAAAAAGACTGAATTATAAGTGTCAATAGGGCAAGTAAATATACTTATTGTCTAGACATAAATGTACAGGCTGTGGTTTACTCCATTCAATACAGAGGCTGCAAAGTTTGAGATTTTTCTTAACTCTGTGGTTTACATGAGAAGAAAACTGTTTTAAAGGTTTATTTTGAAATAAAGAAATCAAAACTTAGATAAAATAGAACTTTGAATTATAACATTATAATATTAACTTCCATGACATACATTGATAGTAAAGTTGTTTAAAATTAAATTTTGAACGTAACTCGATAACTTGCACAAAAAGGGATTTAAAGACGTACCTGTTGTGAAAGGGTTAAGCAATTGAAGGAAAAAAGTAAAACGTAATTGCAATTTAAATCTCTTAGTTAATTATGTATTATCTATGTTTTAAAATGCATAATTGAAAGGTTTAAACATTTTATAAAGTTATCTCAAACACTGCCCCAGTTCCCATGATTTACGATCTTGCACAATTGTAAGATAATTTTGCTGAAGGCTTATGCATCTTTCCCGAAGATACTATAATATGCCCCTAGCGGCAGCATTGACTTCAGTCAAGATGAATAACAAACTGTAAAGGACAGGAAAGAAAAATAAAACATTAATAATAAACTATAAGTGAAAAGATAAAGATGTGAATTTATGCTGGTGACCCAAATAAGGTATTTTTAGATTATTCAACGAAGAGTTAAAAGGTATATACATATTTCTCTTTCTTAATTTTAAACATTTCATTGCACTGTACATTGATGATAATAGCCAAAGTTTGTGATATGGTAGAGAAAAAGGAAAATAAAATATAAACATTTACCTTATAAAACTTTTAATATTCATTTTGAAGATTCTAGAGGTTATGTAAATTAAATTTGAAAACTGTAAGATGAAGAAAAAGTATTTTTATATTTAAAAGGAAATTCCCCAGGCACTTGAACTATTCAGATATGAAAATATCTACAATAGATAAATAAAATATTTTTAGCAGAAAGACTTACTTAAAATAATGTCCTTCTTTGTGTAGAAGCTATGTATAATATTTAATAAAATCTTACTAGTTTTAGTGAGAATACGTAAAGAAAGCTCAGATATCCTTGGATGTAACTTGTATCCGCCCGTCGCGAAAGGGTTAAAGTTCCGACTAATTTAACAGAAGTTGAGTTTGTTATCTTAATTTGCCCCAATATTAAATTGATATCAATTACCATTTTAATTAGTTCATCGTAAATACCGACTAATTTAACAGAAGTTGGGTTTGTTATCTTAATTTGCCCCAATATTAAATTGATATCAATTAACATTTTAATTAGTTCATCGTAAATACCAACTAATTTAACAGAAGTTGAGTTTGTTATCTTAATTTGCCCCAATATTAAATTGATATCAATTAACATTTTAATTAGTTCATCGTAAATACCACTAGACAATCTAATACTGACAACTAATGAATCCATACTGCACACACTTTTTTTTACAAATTATTAACCTAAGTTCTAAAACCAAAGATGTAGTTGCCAATCTTTCTAAACCAGTACAGATGTACATAATCATGCTTCCAAGAAACATTCATTTATCACAGTTATTTCAAGTTTGTAGATCTACAAATGTTTTTCCTTCAATTGCTTAAAATTCTGACTAATTTATAAGTTTCTAGATCAAATCACTTAAAATACTATAATGTGCATTTCACTTTTCTATGATAATACCTTTACATGAATAATTATCAATGAGCCATAGAAATAGCCACTACAACAACATCTCAAGAGATAATGATTTGCCAGTGGAAAGGGGAGAAAAGATACTAAACTTGTATATTCTTGTCTGATAAACAATGTATTATTTATACAAAAGACGTGGCATTTTAGTGTTTTTAAGTGAAGTTCAACAATGTCTTACAGTCACACCATGATATTAAATAAACATTGTACATATATGAATAGCCTTAAAGGCACAAATAAAAGTTCAAAGTTACACAAAATCAAAAATTACTTTTATAAAATTAGAGTCTGAATGAAATTTAATATAAATTTTAGGACAAAATCAGTTCCTTACCACAGCTTTGCACAGCAGGCTGCTCTTGAGTAAGAACTCCCTTAAAGATATCTTCAACATCTTTACTATCCATATGAGGAAGTCCTACAGAAAATGTTAATTTATATCGATTCAAAGTACTTAATATGATATTAATCTTTACTGAATATTCCTAAACCATAAATTTCATATAGAATCTAATCATTATTTAAATTGCAAAAATAAAAAACAAACGAACTTATACAAATAAACGTTATATATACACACATACATATATATGAAATTACTTCATACCTGTGTCTTCAACCATAGTATCTAAATTGAAGTGTGAACTTAATAGGTCAATGTTTGACCCTAGAGGATCATCTCTATTTGTTGAAGAAGTAGCATCAGTATCATGCTTTAACCGTGGTCTTTCTTCTATGGATGAAATAGCTTCTAAAGCTGAAACAAAAAAATTTTATATTTCAACATTTTTGTTTTTTCTACACTGTAAGTATTCAAAACATATCACACATTATATCCTTTACAAATAACTTAAAAGGGACCTCTTACAAATTTCAAAGATATAGAAAATTCGGGAAAGAAATGTAAAATTCATAGGATAAAGTTCAAGAAAAGTATAAGGTAAAAGAGAAAAAAAAAGATGCACAAACTCTCAAAATGGGGGAGAAAAACTAAAAATAGAAGAGGATGAACTAGTAGCAAGTGGTCAAGGTTACATGAACAACAAAACAAATTATGAAAAGTGAAAACAAAGTTATGCAGGTCAAAATTTAGCCAACAAGTAAGACATTGAAAAGTACATCTTGAGTTTGGAAAGTATTGTAAAAACAGTGGAATGAAGGGTGAAAATAAGCAAGTAGATAAGATCAATCCTAAAATAAAAGTATTTACCATCAATAAAACAAAAACTAAAAAAAGGCACCAAATAAAAGAAACTTGTGACTGAGGTAAACAACATATTAGAACAGCAAAAATGGCTTTATAAAAAGTATCCTATCAGAAGAAGATTGCTGCTCAACTACCCTATTCACTAGAAGTATGATACGTCTTAACAGAAAGATGAGAATCTCTTCGCTCCTGATAAATTTTTCACTGGTATCACAAAAGTTCACTTAATGCTATTTACAAGCAATTACCCATTGGAACATATAATTGGAGACAACTCTTCAAAAGAAAAAAAATCATGAAAGTTATAATAAAAAGAAAAAGACTTAAGACAAAAATAAATTTCTAATATTATTTGGCTATGTAGAAAGTTTCTGAAAAAATGTCAGGCCTCCCAGCCTTGTTTTAAGGATAAATAAGAACAAAAAACTTGCTGTGTTTACTGTACAATTAAGATTTTAATATGCATACTAGCCAGGAAAACGAGTTTTTATGCTTTCTGCCAATTTACTTTGGCAACTAACCAATTTTCCAACCTGAACCACAGTTTCTTATAATTTTCAAAAAATACTTACTAATTTATCAGGCTTTTGTTATAGATTGTTTTCTGTTACAGTGAAGTACTTTATCCTTTTCTACCATGTCCTGTTTTTAACATTTTTATGAAAACGTAAAGGTACATAAACATGTGGTTCAGGCTGATTGAAAAAATATAAGTTTGACAGTCTATTTTCACAAAAATAGTAAGACAACTTTAAAAACAAATGCTTTAATAGATTTTATAAGTTCACTAGGAAGCCTAAAGTTATAAAAACAAGACAGAGTGAAGTCAAAAACTCAATTCTGTTTAAAAGGCAGAGTATTTAGTCAACTACGCTTGAACTACACCTCAAGTGACACAAGCCCTAGTTATAATTTCATTGAACAGGTTTTCTGACCAATTAAGCTATCATACCCTTTTTCTCAATTTCAAAAGAGAGAGAAAAAAGAAAGACATATATAATATTACATTTTGATATTAAAAAGATTCCAAATGAAGTAATATTCAACAATAAGCTTGGAGAGTATACTGGTATTCACACAGCAGCACAAAATGCCAGTCTGACTCATAATGAGAAAGATTCATTAAAACACAACAAAAAGGATCAAAGAGAACACACACAATATGAAAGGTGCTGTCAAAGTAATAGTAATATACAAAAAACACACACAGTGTTCTCCTTCTGTGTGAACATGTGTACTGATATAGGGGAATTTGTAGACCACATGAATGTTTGAGAATAAAAACATATGACAAGACATAATTGAAGTAGTGGAAAGACTTAGGGCAACAAACCTTGAAATACAAACTTCTTGTGCATGCAGAACTAAAATAACTGAATAAAATAAGTTACATTTAAGTGACAGTTAAACTGTTCAATAATTTTTTTAGGTTTGTTTTACAATGGACTTTGCATAACTTTGTTATATAAACATATGGTCAAAGAGGATTTTAACACAATTAAGATCCTAAGAATGGGCAAAAGTCTTCATTCATCTGAGCAATAAGTAAAATTATTTATGTATATTTTGTTAGTTGCAAATTATGTTAAAACTTTTAAATCAAGTCATGCATTATACTACAGTTAGAGGTTCTAACATACATTGGACTACAATAGCTAATTTTTTATGATGGTAACTAAGTCTGACCTTTTATCAACTGAAAATAATCAATTTAAATAATGCAATACATGATTATTGTGACATACCAATAAAGTGAAACTTTTCAAAAATGTTAAAGCAGCTAGGAAAATCACAACTTTTCCTTTACACTATCACTTGGTAAGATTTAATTTGCACACACACACACACACATATATATATAGCCTATTATAAATTCAATTAAAAACAAACAAAGCTGTGTTAAGTCAATAAGAATCTGAAAACATGAGAGTCAACCTAATAAAGAAGATGTTCCCAAACTGTGGTCCGCAGCCCCCAGAATAGTACTTAAGGGTGTCCGCAGTAATACATCAAATTGATGAAATTACCATTTACTGAAAGACTACTAAATAAAATAAAATGTGAGGTTTCTCTCAACTTGCTTATATAAAATCGAAGTATAGAAATAAGATAAATATGAAGCCAGATCTTCATTTGAAACTGCCAGACATTGACTCAGAAATTCACAAGATTGTTTCAGCAAAGCAGTATCATCCTTCATATTAAAGTCGTAAGATTTTTTTTTAATTTTCCATATTTAAATCCCTTTTCACTGTTCTTTTCTTAAAACTAGAATCAAGCTGTAAAGGTAGTAAAATACACATATGATACACCAGTTACACATCATAAAAACTATTTTCAACAGGAGGTGGTCTGCCAATACAGTAAAGAAGTTGAAGGGGGTCTGCCAGTTGGCAAAGTTTAGGAACCCCTGTAATAAAGATTGGTTCCAAAAAATCTTTATATGTGAATGTAAAGTAGGAAGCTCTGTGCCAGTTACAATGATGTTTTTTTCCTATAAATAGAATAATGCAGTCTGAGCTTGTACACAAAATCAAACAAGGTTCCCAGTGGTTCCAACATACAAAGAATGGAAACATTTATCAAAAACAAGAAGGAACCTTCTTAACACTTATAAAGAGCTTAAGGGCCAGGCTTTTTTAAGTGTCCAATTTGAGGTTGTCAGTGTTCTGGGGCAAATTTCTCTGAGTACATACCTTACGCAAACATATATTATATGTTGAGTTTGTGTTAAGTTTTTCCAGCAAACCAAGGAAATAAACAATGGTGGGGTATTAAAAGTAGCATGTTACCAGCAGAAAAAATTAATTTCATAACACAAACACAAAAACTGTAAGTATGACTCAAGCCTTTATTGTGATTAATTAGTAAACTTTTATATTTTGAAAAAAAGTAATTGTTCCATTACTTTTTCACATATAAAAATATCCAAATTAACATGTCACCATAATCATATGTTCTGTTTTATGGTTGTTTATTTTCAAGACAATAATTACATATTTCTAAGTAAATAAAAAGATGTGAGTCTAAAATTAATCCAAGATGTATATAATTTGATTTGATCATACCCCAAACACAGGACATCAAGAGATATTTTGGGTACGTCCATTTGCAGCTTGTAATAAAATTAGTTTTTTAAGCATGTGATCTCCTTTACATGTATATCCAAGTGTAGATACTCAAATTATGTTGTTATTAGGTTGTTTACTTTCAAGACAATAATTACATATTTTTGAGTAAATAAAAAGATTAGAGTCTAAAATTAATCCAAGAAGTATATAATTTGATTTGATCATACCCTAAACACAGGAAATAAAGAGATATTTTGGGTATGTCCAATTGGAGCTTGTAATAAATTTAGTTTTTTTAAGCATGCGATCTCCTTTACACATATATCTAAGTGTAGATACTAAAATTATGTCATTTTGCTATATCGTTATACACAATAGCCAAGAAAGTTGTTGTTATCAATAACTGAAAGGGTAAGAGTAAATTTCATTCTCCAATGAAAATCACTGAACATTAAATTGCATGAACTCCTATACATGCACTCCTTTACTTCAGTTTTGTTTCAGAGTGGAATATACAGAATGAATAATGCTTTTCACACCATATTTAGTTTCTACAATGTGCAGATGATTATTGTAGGGTGGATTTGAAATGTATTAGTCACAAATCAACTCATTTTCCTGCAAGAAAACCCCCTGAAAATGTGATTGCATGACAGGTGTGTGTCTCTTTAACTGTATAACTAACATAAAAATAGTGTGAGTGGTGGTAGTTGTAGGTTTAAATGACTGATAAATTACAAAGCTAAATATGCGAGTGATAATTAAGCATTTATTTATAAAAACAGATAATTGGGGACATAGTGAGATGCTTGTAAAGGAGTTCACAGAATGGGTAAAGGAGATCACCATTTTAATTTAACTCCTTATATATGCTTTGCACTTCTTAGTATAATGCCACATTAAAATAAAAGCTTACATTTAAGATCTGTAGAAGTAGTCTAATACAAAATAACTATTCTTATTAGCCTGCAGTAGTTGGATTTACTGTAGAAATGTAAAGGAGATCACATTAATTTCTATACCTGCCGTTGCTAATATACAGAGGTGGTATGCATTTCATTGATGGGTTTCACATTTGTATTTTTAGAATGGATGGCAAACAAAGTCGACAGCTGAAATATTATCACAGAAAAAAGGCAGCAGAAGAGAACACCTTCTTACAATTTGTTTACTTTTTGTCTTTTTATTCTAGGTACATTATAACCTGGTAAAGAAGAACACATGTGAAAGACAGTAGTCATCTTCATCAAGGTGAAAAAATATGACAAAATGTAGCCCGAGTGCTAGATTTTTGGTGCAAGGTTTTTCAGTACTTAATTTCTTCAATAACTGTATAAATCATACTTATTGGAGAATATTTTTTTCAACATTTTCCAGTTGAAAAATGGACACTTAAGAAAGCCTGGCCCTTAAATACATTACCTCTCAGATTTTTTTTTTTCAAACTCAAATGAATAAATGAGGAAATATAAGAATACACATGGTTTTTATTATGTGAACCCCCCTATAAAGATATCTTTAGTTATAAAAACAGGTTAATAACACAACTTATGATAGAAGAATTAAGTTCAAAGATACAACTGCTTAGGATTTTTTAGTGGACACAATACATTTACTATTGCAAACACATTATATTTAAAGAAATAAAAAAATCAAGTCATCACATTATGCATTCAGATTAGCAAAATAAATACAATTTTTTTTATGGCACAAAGTCAAATATGAGCATCTTTAGAGAAACTCACAGTACATATTAACCAGTAGGAGTTCTTCAAAGGTAAGCATTTTTGGCAGTCACAATAAGTTATCTAATCATATTTCATTCATAGCAGGATTACATTAATATATATTCACTTTTTTTTTCAGAATATTACAAAATTCAGTCAGTAAAGGAAAACATAAGACCCATTTTAGAAGTTAGAATTTGTAGCAGAAAAAAAATAAAAAAAAATAAATCACTTTCAAAAATAAAGAAAAGGAAGATTGATACCACACATTAAGATCAACTGACTTTTATCTGCTTATGAGTATTACACTTCTACACAGTATGAAAAAAGTAAATCCTAGAGTCACGTATGAGAGATACGATACACAATTCCATAGCAGAAAAGAAAAAGCTAAGAAAAATAGAACCATAATTTTTCAAGTGCATTAAAAACAATCCTTATGCAAAACAAGTGAAAGACATCCATGAATAGTTTTTCTTTACTGAATTATAAATGTGGTACAACCAATGAATACGTCTGACATTGAATGTTACATGAACTGAAGGGTTATTATACACTACACACTTGAATTTGTCATAGGTGTTGAAATTTTTATAGAACAGTACGATAACATTAATTTTACAAAGTAAATATTCCATAAAAGATAATTTCTGATGTCTTCTCTTCTCTTCTATTTATGTAGCAAATATAATTTACCCTCATCCTGTTTAGCCAGATCATCTCCATCATTCATCAACATATTCATCAATTCATCATCTTGAGCTATATCTTGAGGTAGAGGAAGTAAATCCTTTAAAGCCTCACTATCACCAAGGTCTCCTTCGTCCATGCCCTAAGTAAATATAATATTAAGTTTTTTCAATGTCATTCTTGGGCTACTCCTTCACATTAATTACACAAATGAATTTGATATTTCCTATGCAATAAACCAGTCACAGATATAAATATATCTTACTAACTTTTCAGCAATTATTTCACTAACAGGAAATAAAAAAAGGCATGTTAATTAAGTTTTTGCAATCGAGAAAGTAATACAGTAACAAAGACAAGGAGCTAAAGTAATACAATTTATTTGGTTAACCAGTGACATTTTGAGGTCATCAAAAAAAATTACAGTTAGTATCAACTTTACCACAGGATCAAGATGCACATGTCATGATATTTTACAATTCAATTTAAAATTTAATTAATCAACTTTAATATCAATATAAGTTAATGAACATGGCATCCAAATGTAGTTTATACTTCAAAATTTTATATTATTTAAGTTTTAATTTCAGAGAGAAATGTTTAAAAAAAATTATCAGTTCCACTTCTCTGTCACATGAGGCATCTGGGCTCTGAAGTCTCCCCAACAGATGTAGTATCTTCTCTAATTTGACTTTCAGTATGTCCAACTAACTCGAAACACAAACTATATATAATTACGAGCAGGAACATAAGACTTTATCCTCATACCTTCTCGATTTGCTGGAATGTAAATAAATTTGCAAAAGCCATTGAAGAAGCTAGTCCCACCTTTTCATATCTTTCAAGGCAATTATCTAATCCTGAATACGTATCTGATGGACATGTTTATAATCAACAGAAAAAGTCTCTTCTACATAAAACTTATTACAGTTGGGTTTTTTTGGCAGGCATAAGTAATAGTTGGCCTTAGATCCTTCATATGTTATTGTTTTTGATTACTCCTAGCAGCCAAGGAAATTTTCTTAACCTACTTATAGCTTAGTCAAAAAGTCAATTAAATTATAACAATATTGGGGCATTGTATTCTAGTGCCTGATGTATTTTTTGTGTTGTGAATTATTGTTTAGAGACCACAATATCTAAGATCTAGTAAGGATTATAGGCAATTACATCATGAGGTCACAGGGTGTTTACATAGTCTACAGGCAAATCGCTAATTGGCTCCCACTGTAATTTACTACTTTTGACAGAAATCCTGTGGTTCAAAGTACAGACAATAAAATAAAAGTTAAAAAAAAAACATGGTGAAAAGTTTACAGTTGAAACTGTGAAGATAACTAAATTGAAGATCTCAAAACAAAACATGCATTTAAAGAAAGCAAAAAAAAGGCATTATTTTATATCAATTTTTTCACATTTTCTTGTCACTGTATACTGATGATTTTGCTGCAGTTAGTGTTAGGGTATAGAACATAAAAAGTAAAATATAAAGTTTTACCAAAACTTTTGATACTCATTGAAGAGGTTCTAGATGAAATGCAAATGAAATATAAAAACTGTATGCTGAAAAGAGGTATTTTCAACCTTAACCTTTTCATTACTTCCTCAGTGGATTACACTGACCATGTGACCATCAGGTTTCTATACTATAGCTTTTAATATGAAATTCTTAAAACTTTTAGCAAACATTTTGAGACATTTGTAGACAAAAAATACTCAGAGATTTTAATTAATATTTTTTTACTACAAATTTGTTTGTGAATAAATGGAGTCAGAGTGATGACTGCTCCATGTACAAAGTGATTTTCATGTTAAGATTAAAAATTCTTTTCATTATTTGAAAATTTCAAATTTCATTTTCATAATCTCCAAAACCCTCTAAATCAGGCCTCGATAAATATTTTAAGATCTAGAAGCCAGGTGTACCTAATCTAATTTCCCAACTGTTTGAACCAGGAAATAGGGGCTACACTAGTGCCTTGATTATCCACACCTCCTTTACCCACAATCCCCAAATATCCTTGCTTTTTTCTTTTCCCCAAATTTTCTCAAAATAATTGTGCCATTACAATTCTAGACAATAATTGACATGTTTTGGAGAAATTGTCACTCAGAAATTAATTATGGTTGCAAAAGTTCATGTGTTGCATGATATCCAGGGTTTTCACGTGCAGGATCTGGCATGCATTCAAATCGTAAGACGGCTAGTTCAAGCCTAGCCTTGTCTCTTTTATTTTTAGCTGTTGAGACAGGAATACAGAATATTTGTAACTTGGTTAACTTTATTGGATTAGTGATTAAAAACACAGTATACAAAAACACACAAAATATACATTGGGATTTTTTAAAGATTTCATCCAACTTAAGTTGTCATTCGCTGGCATCCTTTAACCACAGATACATAGTTCAGGTTGTGTTGGGGATGTCACCCAGTTACGCATTATCCTCTTCCCTACAGATAAATCTATCTTCAACTTGTTTTAACAAAAGCCTTTTCGTAATAATTCGCAAGCGCAGATTTGCACTAATTTTTGCTAATTTTTCACAGGCATTGATAGGGTGCAAATGCACTTTTGTGTCTATAGCAGAAAAGGTGCCCAAAATTTAGGAGCTACTTATGCCTATTTTAGCAATTAAATTCAACTAAAATGGGAACGGGCAATCAAAAGAGGAAATATTATAGGATAAAAAATGGAATTGGACTCGTGTAACTCACGAAATTTGGAGAAATCGAATGTGACCAACCAACCAACCAAAACTGGCTTTTATGATTATGATTGTGAAGACTTTTATAAATTTTCAGGATAATATGATTAAACAACAGTAAAAAGATAATAAGTAGCAGTAAAAAAGATAATAATTTAAAACAAGGGAACTTAAATATATTGAAAATTTTTATTTAGATTGAACAATGGGTTAACTAGTGAGATACCTTAGTGCCTTATCTGCTGTTTCTGTTATCTGCAATTTTTTGCCTTCCCCGAACCAGTGCGGATAATTGAGGCACCAGTGTATATTTATTTACTTCAACAGCAACAAATGGATGTTAATGATCATATGATATCAACAACCACCTGATAGTATTGCCTGAACTAACTGACTTTGGTCCTGTCTGAGTCTAAACATATGCACTGATTGGTTGAATTGAGAGAAAGAAGAAAAAAAAAATGGCACAAAATTAGTAACGTGTTGTGCAACTACACTGCTTCTTTCCTGGAAAAACATGAAAAAGGGCTGAATCCACCATTAAAATCCTAGAAACAAAGTTCGATTTAGAACTCAAAAAACGTAAAAATAGTTCCGGGCTATGCATGAATAAAATGGGAAAAAATAATAGGCACCACAATGAAATGGAGACCTGGTGCCTGGGATTTGTTCAGGCCTGCTCTAAATAAATATTAGATGTTTTTTTTTTCAGAAAAACTTTATATTTTATGTTGTTTTTTTCCACCCTAACTCTCTACAGGGTCATTCAATTTGGCCAACCTTGTAACCACCAGAAAACTTTAAAGGTTGAAAAAATGTGGAATAAAGTGAGTAGTACTGTCCTATCCTTTATAATATTGGCTACAAAGGTCTAACCTTTTCACATCTATTTCCTATACTTATTTTACTGTTAGCAGCTGAAGTAGTAACCTACTGAACATAAAACAATGAATCACTGCTCCTGCTATTAGACTATTTATGAGACACTGCAATATGATGCTGTTTACTGCAAATAAGCTTGTGTGGTGCAATTACCAGAATTTTCCCACAAAGTTTATCATAATTCCACCTCTGTGAACACAGTGTAAGAGGATTTACTGACATGTTTACATTTGCAACAAGAATTGTCCAAAATAATAAAAGTGCAAAAAAATTTTTATGATATGGCTCTGTACAAAGTCTGGACTGATCCAATAAACTTGATAAGTATATGGATGTTAGTCATCCTCCTTAAGCAGTCAGATCTTAGCAGTATAGGTATACAAATATTAAGTGCTCATGAACATATATATTATTACTATTTACTCGTAAATGTTTAATTTTTAGTTATCTTTCTGAAAACATAGAATAAATAAAAAATATACAGAAAAACATTCTCCTTAAGTGGTCAGATCTTAGTGGTATAGGTGTACAAAGTATATAAGTGCTTATGAACATACACATATATTATTATACAATTTACTCTTAAATGTTTAATTTTTAGTTATCTTTCTGAAACATGGCACAATAAATAAATAAAAATATACAGAAAAATAATGATTTCTAGTACTTGCAATATTACAAAATTGACTTGTACTTTGTGCATTGTACTTGCTAAGCTTCGCTGGAAGTCTCATTTTATTCTCTCAAGTGAAGGGGAAAGACAAATTAATTTTTGTAAATTTCAATGCATTTTAAAAACCAAAAAATTATCATATTACTATACTGGTACACATAAAACCACTGTAATTTATCTGGCTTTCTAACTAAGCTATGTGTGAGCTAAAAAAAATCTCATTTCTCTTCAGAACAACTTGGTCAACAGAATGGAGCATTTCCAGTGAAATTACAAAATTCTCCTTACAAAGCACTTACAAATGACTATCAGCTTTACAGGGTTTTTGAATGTGCTCTTTCTCTTCGTTATAACCATGTACTTAAACCTACGAATATGGGCTGGGTGGGATCCACCCAGCTCGTAACCACAAAAGTATCCATATGTGTAATTATACTATAATTTTTTAAACTGTATGCATATCTTTACAAACCTTTGTAGATTACTAGTAAACATTACAAGGCTTTTATACCCAAGATATCAGGCTTTAAATTAAGTAATAAGATTTCTTTATTAAAGATTTACTCACAAATTTTTTGTCTCAGAATATTCACTATCCAACATAAGTAATTTTGATTTTAAGATCAAAAATATTTTTCTCTATCTGAAAATTGTGAAGTTTCATTTGCGTAATCTCTATATCCTTCTACATCATCATCAAATGTTCTTTTTAAATAAAACTTTATGTTTAATGTGTTATTTTATCAGTTAACTCCATATGATGTTAGTCAATTTGACTGACCTCTCAACCATCATAAAAATTAAGAAAGAAATATAAATTACCTATTTTTTCTTCTAGAATAACTGCAAATTTTAACAGTAAACCACAAATGTTTATTCTAAATACCATAAATTACCTAGCAGTATAGATTTATATATTAACTTTTGTTTTATTGCCCTTTGAACCATGTCTAACTAAAAAACCCCAACACAAGTTGAAAATCATGCAACACACATGCACCTCACGCAACCGTATCAAAGAGTGTAACACACAAGCTGCTGAAGCGCATACCCCATGAAGATTTTTATCATTTTTCTTTCATTATATTATCTAAGAAGTTTCTATGTTTTACATTTTAGTTACTTTATAATAAGAAATAGTGAAAACAGATGAAAAATAACAAAACCTTGTAATTGAATATCAAAGATTTTTATTTTCAGTAAAGATTTATATTTTATCTGTTATTTTCTTTATTGTAAGTTACACTTGAATCTCCAGGTTGTAGGTAAGTAATCAAAGTATAATGAAAATAAAGGCTGCATATGCTAAATAAAATGTATAGTATTTTTAGAATTGATCACAAGATTTTAAAGTACTTATGGTCAGACTTTACACTTCTCACACTTATTTGTTATCAAAAATATATATATAAACCTAAAAATAATTATTTCATTTCACATCCTCCATGTGCGAAATTTTATAAGGCTTAGCAACCTATGTCAAGCAGCAAACAAGTACAAAGGTCATAACTAAAAGATAAAATTGTTTTCTTTACTCCTTTATTTACTGTTCTATGTTTTAAGACAAATACGTTTAAGAACTTATTTCTAAATAATGTATATACATATATATAATGTATTATAACTGAAATGTGACTGTATTTTACAAAATATTAGTC